GATCAGAAGCTGAAATGTTAACGACTTTGGCTTGACATTTTTTAATTTTAGACAAGGCATGTTACTGTTCATCATTACCGTAAATAAAAAAGATATTTATTCATATTTTTCCTAAAGTAGAGTTGTGATAAGTTAAGTCGTTAATGGATTTCCATTAATGAATGTGTGATAAAGATTGTCACACTTGATTAGTGAGTTGTTTAGTAACAAGTCTAGTTGATTTGTTAATTGGAGTAAGAGTAGTAAACACTCAATATTAAATTACATATATTTATTCTATACTGACTATCATAAATATATGTTATACAAAATCAAGTATATTGTAAATAGAATTATGCCGATGGAAACTGGCACAGGTATATAAGAGCGTACCTTTAATCATAGAAGCAGTTCTGATATTACATTGCCTAGTAGTATATTCTATCGTTCGAATAAAGAGGATTTATGAAGTTATCTGGATATACTCATTGCTGAATAAGGTCGTATACTGAGCTGGTCGAGTTAGTGAAGCTTATTAGCAACGGTATATTACGGTAGAGCGGTTACGCTAGGAATAAAATTAGTTACTTTTACTACAAACGACGTTGTGACATGGCATTACTTATTTTCTCCTTTACTCGTGAAATACTTTCTGAAAAGTGAGCCTGTATTCCTTGCTTTAAAATGATTGACAATTTGCTGATGAATATCATCGCTATCAGTAATATGTGACAGTAGGTTAAGTAAATTCCAATTTATATTGACTAAAATTGACGCTATCATTTGGGGTAATGAAATACAAAGGTAATAATTCGAAAAATTGTTGAAAATATTTGCTTTCTCAAGTAATTATCACCCTTGGCACTGTAACTAATTTGCGCTGTATCGGCAACTTTCGAAGTTTCTTGAATATCAAAGTTTCTACGGGAATTTTGAGTCCCAATAATACCTGCTAATTGGTTACTAATGTCAAGTTCTGTAACTGCAGCAGTAGTAGAGGATATCATATAGTCTGAGCAAGCTAAGAAAGAGCATCGATTACTAGCATTTTCTAGATAGGACTTATCTTTGTAAACTGAAACAATAAATCCAACGCTTCGCTAATAGCGATATGGCTATCATTATATCCATTACGTATGCTATAACCTAGCGTAATATTAAGCAGTAAATTTGGATTATTATTAATTTCTTTAATGGCAAATATCATTCCATGCACGTTAATGAAATGTTGCTAGTCAATGATATTGTATCGCTGTATTTTCTGATCACAACTTCTATGGATTGGAAATATTCCACTAAGAACTATTTGACTATCTTTTAAACGCCGCGTAATATTGAACTATTTCCAACCTTACAGTATCTAGTTGCACAAGGAAAGATTTGGCCTCTCTGTATTTCAGTCAATTTAACTAATCTCTTATTTTAGCTTCCTATACTATTCCTTAATCCAATGCATATTTAATACGGTTTTGCAAGTGCAAGACACCAAGCTACATATGATTGTCTTCCCTCTCTTTGGCCAATCATATACCATCTATTGAGATGTGCCAGTGCCTCTTCAAGACGCCATGCAGTCCCACTTAACCGTACAACTAACATCCCTAGTATTATCCACTAACAATCCGCTAGGCCTATAACACCTGATAGAGCGCCATTAACACCTCAAACATACTGTCCTATTTACTCGAGGCTAAGCGTACTCTAATTTTCCTACAAACCGGTTTTTATTGCATTTATTGAAAAGATTAAAGAGAGAGCCAGTATAAGGGTTAAAACAGTAGATGTACCGTTACTAATGCCAACTGTAAAATGATAACTGAATATCACCTATGCTGTCATTATTAATGCTAAGCGTAGGTATTATTATTATATGCAAAAATTCTATAATATACCTACGGTACAATAGTTTTAACGAAACGGTTAAGTATAACGATCAAAAAGATAAAGGTCCTCTTGATCTTTTGTGTATACGAATTGATAATAGAAACGTTAAGAAATCAGAAATCGAATGATATGGAATTTTCTTCCGGCTTTGTCCTGCAAATTTGGATCTCGAGTCAACTAATATTAAAATGACGCAATCTAAGGTATTAAAATTCCATAACAGCTATCGTTCTTTCAAAAGCTGTTAACTTTAACTATCAAATATTAAAAATTTTATCTTATCAATACAGAAAAAATTAAGTAAATCGGTCCTCCATTAATCATACAATGTTAGATAAAAATACTAAACGACATATTATTTTCTAATTGAATGCATTCATTGCTGCCAAGATTTACAATAATTCTTAACGATAACTTCTTCAAACTCTTTTTTGGACAGGGTGGGGGATTATCTATAATTACATCATATCATATTTATTAATAAAGTATAGAATAGCATTTCGATGGAATAGTAAAGCATAGCGATATAGAGTAATAGATGAAAAAAGGACATCGATGAATTCAAAGCGTGAACATAGTGAATTAAGTTGTCTACGTACGACTTGTCTGACATCTAACAGAACAATTTCGCTCTTTGCTAGAGTTGCAAGACCAATTCAAAAATGCACTGAATAATCCTTTTCTCCTATTTTGTCATCAAATGAGGGATGAATATAGATCTTAATGTAGTAGGATCTGTACAGTGCAATGTAATAAAATGAGCGTAAGATTTTAAAGGAAATTTCTATTCAGTAGCAACAAAGACTTTGATAGAGTTAGCTACAATTACTTGTCTTGCCAAGTTACTATTCCATCGTATATTACATCGTGTAAATCAATAAATTTGTAATAAAATCATCTCATAACTATTCGTTCTAATCGAACTTGGACAAAGTAATTGCCTCAGGTAGAAAAAATTTAAATATAGAGGCATTTATTACAATATTTAATAATAATGGAGCAATAATTTATGACGACGAGAATCTAATTTAAAGTATCCTGAGCTCAAAGAAGTCTATTCTACTCTACGCTCATCTCAGTAGTTTACTCTTTCTTTAAATCAATTAAATTACTGTTGCTAGGGAGTGTTTGACCTTAAAGATTACTCTAAGAGTATAACGAATGAAAATATCCTCTTTTTATTAGTGGTATATCTCCTTAATGATGTTGCTAGTTGCTAGCCATAGCACCTTGCAGTTATATCGCTTAACACCTGCTAATTTATTAAGATTAATATATATTCATAGCAGCTGTCCAATTAAAATTATTTATCATGGTAAACATATACTGGTTCGTTGTTAAAGTCGATTAAATTCCTATCTTGATTAGTTACTTTATACTTAACACAATGTATTGCTTTGTGATAATATCTCGTAAGATTCTTTTTAGTCTAAATTAATTCTCTCAAAAATTTTCTTTGGCAAGTAGAAATTAAAAATTAGGCTTATTGTAGAGCGCAGTCCTTGTTGTAAGAATAGTACGCATAGATTATTAAAGCACAAATCGAATTTAGAGAACCTTAAGCTTGAAAGTTTCCTTTAATCTATTTTCGACATATTAACAGAAGATTTACAGAAGATATTTTCTTACATAGGTTATCACTTTATTTTACAGTACGAATCAATCTGCTTAATACAATGTCTAACGCCTGTAAAGTAGTTGGCCTCTTCCCAATTACAGTACATTAAGTCACATCGGTCTATTTACCGCGCTAGCTAACTAACTAATATTAATAATGGAAAATTTCTATTATTAACATAACGATAATTAGTCATAACGCCACTCTCTGTAGTATACATTAAAATAAACTTAAAATGTGATTATTAATTAGTTTTAAACTATTCAAGCACAAATTGTTATGTATTATTAATAACAACAAAGATTCAATTAAACTATTTCTACATTTTTCTAAATGTTAAGATGACAATCATTTTCCTTGTACACCTTTCGTCATCACGGAATGTATTTGTAAAGACATTATCAATAACTCTTAATCACTCGATCCCTCATATTTTGTTTTCATACTACAAGTATTCGTTGCCTATTACTATTACAGATTAAGTATAGAAATTAGATTTCATGTACGCAGTCTTTATAGTTCTTTACTTTTCTAGTCTATAATGCAATTCCTACTTTCTACAAGATAGAGCTCCACTCCAATTCTCGTATACGGTGTAAACTGTAAAATGATAAAACTTTACGCTAATAAGCTACTAGATCGCTAGATTTTTGAATCACTCGAGCTTTTATTCAGCTGATTTCTTAAGTGATATAATTATAAAATTGACTTATTACGTTTACATTAGTCGGTTTATGACAATTATAATCAAGATATTACGATGTGATACATTTCTAAACACGATGTAACACTGAAATTGCTGGTTTGATTCAATCAACCAGAAACAATTAGCTAATTTTATGGGAGAAGAAATAAAATCAAATGCTCAAAATTTAAACCGTGAGTAAATGAGTTATTCAATATCTGGATAGAATTGCGACAAAACATATCAGAAAAAGATTTCAAAAATGACTTAGCCTATTAGCTTATTAACCGCTTTAACTTTGACTTGCACTGAAATACTCACTACCGTAGAAAGAGCTAATTACAAACATTGACACAAGTTGAACTAAAGTGGCCTTTCATCCATCCTAGTTAAGTTTCCATTTAAATATTCTGATTCTTAGATGCCTAACATAATCCAAAAAAACTCATAATCGAATCGATTTAAAATTACATTTGAATAACTACAATAATTTGTATCATGGAAAGTAAAGGACCAAAATAGTTATTCGACGATTAGTACAACCAGAAAATTATTCTTGGATCTTAAAATATATAAATTTAGCACTCTTAAGCTAATTAACAATAATTAATTACATAATATGCTTCAGAATTAATGTAGCTATTTGGGTCAGAAATGTAGCTATTGCCACATGTAATGATGTTACAGCCATTTATTAGACAATTCATGAAAGAGATGCAGTATGGCAACCAATGTGCAATAGATGCAATAGTTCTTACTCAAGTTTATGGTTGCAATTACTCATTATATATAAGCGGCGTTCGTTTATAACTCTTGCAGTTGTAAATTTTGTAATCAAGATGAATAGATTTGGTTTATTCTTTCTTTACTTATTCCCGATGTCATTTCCAAAACTTCCGACTGATGTGGGGAAATTCCAGACGTTGTACGTCCTACATGTACCAATTTTTGTCTACTCTTGGTAAGGGTTCCAGCTTGATTAAAGGAATAATTTGCTATATCCACTATAATATTTTCACGAGTATTCTGTTCTGGATGGAGTAAAATTATATACAACTTTGGACTAAACATACAAAGCAAAATAGCTAAGGCTAACGTGATTATACCAAATGATGATATTGCTGCCTGAATAGGCCCCGCTGTTCCGAAATAAGACGGAACCATAGTTAGCAAAGACATAAGTATGATTAAAGAAGTAAAATTAATATATTTTGCTTCACAAAAATTTTCTGGTAATTTACGTGTTTTAAATGCCCAATAAACACAGCAAATACAAAGAACAGAAAAATAGCCAATCGCGATTGCATATCCAATACGAGTATTAGATCGACATTGCAAATAAACTATATCTTCAGATATTACAAGTCGATTAACTTGAATAGGATCGAAATAATTGGCGATAAAACAGATTGCTATTTGTATTACGGTCAGAAAGACGACTAATATAGCGGGTCCTTGATAGCTAAGATATACTCTTGTCTTAAAGGACTTCACAAAACCTGACTCGAATACTCTAGAAACTCGATTAGTTTTAACAAAAATGATGGACACAATAAATACGACGGATGTACAAAACCAGATAAAACCGACGGAGCAATTAAGCATTGAAACTGGAGCAGCAAAAGAAACTGCAGTAGACATACACATCAGAATACCAAGCAGAAACATTTGTGACAACATAAAATCAGAAGCTTTAACTACTGCTGTATGACGATATAGAATAATTACAATCCAAGTAAATACTGTACAAACAGCGCCTAGACTAAGATAAATTAACATGATTACATTCTGTATACTATAAAATGTCAATTCGTAGGGCTCGATCAGATGACATTGCGTTCGTTGTCGATTCGCTAAGCTTCCTAAAGGACAAGAAAAACAACTTGACGACTGTGATTGATTATTGACTGTTCCGAGCGGACAAGAAATGCACTTCCAACAGCATGTAAGATTCGTTAGGTATTGATAATAGCTACCAGGTTGACAAGTAGATGAGCATGGATTAGAAATCTGACTTAAGTTAGAATACGGCCCGAAACTAACTAGCGTATCGTTAATGTGCAAAGGAGGAAAATGATTATTTCTCCAGGTACCGACCAAGACGACGTCGTATGTATTCTGTAGTGTAGATTTTATGTTATGGATATAATAGATGATATGGGAAGGATTTCCATTTGCATCAAACTTAAATATCGGAGCTGATGCGCCTTCAAAAGATATTTCATATAAGTTTTTTTTAACTTGATTTTTAAAGGATGGATGATTGACTATTTCATATTGACAAGAACTGTTACTACAATTTAAGGTTTTATGGATTGAATGAGCTAAAGCATTGACAGCGTCTACGACATAAGATATACTGAAAGAATTTCGATAGATATCTTTCTTTGTTTCACCAATTTTATTGAGTAACTGGCCACAAGATTCTTCAAGATCTTGTTCTGTAAAATTAGTGAATCCGCGATTTTCGAGTTCCTGGCTTAAAAATGGTCGCAAACTGAGACAAAGCGGAAACTTTCGAAGATATTCTACAAATTTTGAACTCGGGCGATGCTTAAGGGATATACTAATCATTCCTCCAATTATATCTCGACTAGTCTTAAAAAACTGGCTTTCCAAAGTACCAGTCGTAATAATTGTCTTACCGGTCACATTTTGTTTTTCAAATTCTTGAATAATACTCGTTAGATACTGATTCGTGGCCGTAATAATAACGACTTTAGCAGGACTTGTTTTAATTTTCGATACTGCTTCAGAGATACTGTTCTGCTGATTTTTAACTTTCTGTGACAAATGTATGCATATATTTTTTTGTTGTAAATATTTCTGGATTTCTTCATGGACACGACTACTTAGGTCAGTAACGTACGACAGTAAATCGATAAATTTCCAATTAAAGTAGGATAAAATAGATTCTAAAATTGTCGGATAATGATCTTCCGGAGGAATAGTCCGTAAAATCATTGGAAATCTTTTCTTGTTGCTAAAAAGGCTTTCTTTGGCACCATATGTAATTTGGGCTAAGTTGAAAACTTTGGAAACTCCTTGAATATCAAGACATCCACGAGCATTCTGATCTCCAATAATGCCGGCTAATTTATTACTTACGGCTTGTCCTAAGGCTGAAGTAGTAGTAGCAGTAGAAAACTCATGTGGAAAGGAACAAGATGAGAAAGAGTATTGACTACGACCATTTTCTTCACAGGATTTATATTTTGAGAACTGGAACAGTATGTCTAACGTTTCTCTAACGATGACATGATCATTATCGCATCCATCACGTATATCATAGCCCAATGTGATATTAGGTAGCAAATAAGAATCTTCATTAATTGTTTCAATAGCAAATATCATCGCCTGAGCGTTGATAATTTGTTGCCAGTTTATGTTGCTACATAGCTGCTTTTTGGCATCATACTGTTTGTGAATTGGAAACACTGCGCCAAGCACTATTTGGCCATCTGCTGAAACGCCGATTTCTGTAGAATCGGTTAAGAGTATTAAAGAAAGTACTAACATAGAAGCTAGGCCAGTAGCTATATTATTATTGATTGCTACTGCTAAACGAAAACAGGATGTAGTACGTTCTGTCATTGCTAATAAGAATTGAAAGCAAAATTATAATCTACTCTTCGATCTTATTGATACAACGCTGGTAGAATAGAGATAAAATATAAGCATTTATTACAATTACAAAATCGTAAAAATTGAAAATGTAATCGATAAGAAATGAATTCTACGTTAATACGCGAACAAATAATTTAATTTTCTAGAAGACGAAATAGCTAATTTTCAAATACTTTACATATTAACATTTATTTGATTTCGTAGCTATTTAAAGTTTATTCTACCCAAACAATACACTTATGCTAAAATGTTGTAGTATAAGCTAGTAATGTCAATAAATTAAACATATAAATCGATAATAAAAAGGCGTTCAGTTAATTCGTTCAGTTTTCTAGATCTAGATTATTATCATTAAACGAATGATTACGATAGCCCCTACCAATGCAGATAGAATTTACCGCACATCAATGTTTATCGATCAGCTAATTTCTAATTTCATAGCATTAATGTTTTAAGGCCTTTACGCTAAGTTTAAGATGCAAATGCACGGACGTTACTTTCTGATATGAAATACAGCGTTAAGATTATTTTTAGGACATAATGACAAGTTTAGACGTTATCGTTGATATAATTAAGGATGGTTATTTCAAGTTCATGTATGTTGATTAGTATGACATAGAGTTTTATAAAGTAATAAAAGATAATGATGACGTATAGCAATTCTCCCAAGAAGAAATATTGATTGGATTAACTCGGAACGTATAGCTAATCAATTCAATTTTGAAGGCATTATAAAACAGATCAATAAAATTCAATTGCCCTGCATTCAATCTAAGAAAATGTTATTTTTCTATTCATCTTGTCGAATTCACTAAACATATGTTAGGATGATTTATTCCTCCTAATATATTTATTATATTAAAATAGTAATGGAGCATAATAAGCAAAATGGTTTAATTATCCATTTTTAAACAGAAATCAAATTTCTCCTTTCTTCAATCAGCAATAATGGAAATGTCAGGTGCATAATCCTAAACACTTAAGTCAATTTTGAACTAGCTTGTATGGTCACAGATGTTAAAATGATGAGGAATACATCAAAAAAATATATAAAAGACGGCAATATTTTATAAGCACCAAAAGCAATGTAAATTTGCAATGTAATGACTATCCAATACAACGCAGCTTTAGCTCAGTTTCTAGCAGCTACTGAATTAATCCAGGTAAAATCCTGTTACCAATCCATTAAGTTCAATGATTAGCAGATGATGGTCCATTTTCTATGAAATGGAATTAAAATAGAATGATTACTTGGTTACATTTGGTTTCGATCCTTAATTTGAAATCTCATTTTGCTCTAAACTTAACAAATGAATAATCCAGATACAATTCTAATAATTACCGTATGCTTACAAAACGCATAGAAAATTGAGTAAATCGGTGCTTAATTTATCAAGATTGTTGAATAAAATAGCTAAACGATTTGATATTTCATTTTGAATGTCTCCATTTTTGCCAAGATTTACAATAATCGTAACAGTAAGTTCTACAAACTCGTGTTGAGGGAATTATCTTTAATTACATCATACTGCACTGGTAGTTATTAATATGGTGTGAATTGTGTTTTAATATGATATTAAAGCTTACAAGTAGCAATATAGATTTTGCGGACAAAAATCGAACATTGATGAATGCCAGGCATAAAAATAATGAATTAACTTGTCTATTTATTACATCTAAGAAAATATTTTTACCTTTTGCTAAACCATTAGCATGACTATCTAATCTAAAGTATCCTGAGCTCAAAAGTACCTAATCTGTTCTGTTCTCATTTCTGTAGTTGCTTCATTGTTTAAGTCGATTAAATTACAATCTTGATTAGTTACTTTATACTTAACACTATGCATTGCTTCGTAATAATGTCTCGTAAAGATTCTTTTTAATCTAAATTTGATTCTCTCAAAAAATTTTCTTTGGCAAGTAGAAATTAAAAATTAGGCTTATTGTAGAGCGCAGTCCTTGTTGTAAGAATAGTACGCGTAGATTATTAGAACGAAAATCGAATTTATAGAACCTTCAGCTCAAATGTCTCCTTTAATCTATTTTCGATATATTAACAGAAGATTTACTGAAGATTTTTTCTTAAATAGGTTATCACTTTATTTTACAGTACGAATCAATCTGCTTAATATAATATCTAACGCAGTAAAGTGCTTGGTATCTTCCTAATTACAATACATTAAGTCATATCGATCTATTTACCTAACTGGCTAATATTAATAATGGAATATGTCTAATATTAACATCACAATAATCAGTATTAGTAGCGCTACTACTATAGATCAAATACGGCTATCAATACAATGATGGAAAAGAATGCATGATTGTGATCTACGAACTACTCCGTCTACAGTCAAGAAGTAGATAATGCATCTCTATGTAGTATACATTATAATAAACATAAAATGTGAGTATTTATTAGTTTTAAACTATTCAAGCGCGAATTGTTATGTATCATTTAATAACTACAAGAAGTAGTATTTCTACATATTTCTAAATGTGAAGATGACAATCTTATTTCTTTACACCTTTCGTCATCACGGAATATATTTATAAAGACAATTATGGGCAGTTTGCAAAATGACCGACTTCGCATACGGTCACGTTCATATATAATTCTTTACTTTTCCAGTCTATAATACACTACTTTCTGCATGATAAAGCTTCACTCTAATTTTCTTATAATCAAGAATTTATGATACGATACATTTATAAATAGGATATGGCACTAAAATTACAGGTTTGATTCTACAAACCAGAAATAATTTGCTAACTTTAAGAGAATAGAAATAGAATTAAATGCTCAAAATTTACACCGTGAGAAGGATGTGTCATTCTGTATCTGTATAATATGGCGATGAAACATGTAAGAAAATGATTTCAAAAATGATTTAGCATTGTAATATGTTAAACGTTTAAACTTTGACGTGCGTTGAAATGCTCACTAACGTAGAAAGAGCTAATTATAAATATGACTTAAGTAAAGCTAAATCAACTTTCTATTCATTCCAGTTAAGTTCCAATTTCAATATTCTGATTTTTATATGTTTAAAGTAATCTAAAAAACTTATAATCGAATCGAGTCTGAAATTAGATTCGAATAGCTACAGTAATTTGTATTATAAAAGTAAAGGACTAGGATAATCATTTTACAATTAGTAAAACCAGAAAATTATCCTTAGATCTTAAAATATATAATTTCAGCTCTTTTATGCTAGTTAATAATAAACTGATGGGATATTATGCTTCAAAACTAAAGTAATTATTTGGACAAGAAATTTTGCACGAGCATAAGCTACTGCTAGTATAAATGTAGGCATTATCATGTATAATGATGTTACATCCATTTATAAGATAATTTAAAAAAGAAATGCCTTAATTGACGTATTACATATAATGATGTTGCTGTCATTAAGAAAATGATTTATGAAAGAAGTGCCTTAATCAGCATATTGCATAGAGTGATGTTCTAGCCATATAGGAAGACAATGCTTGAAAGATATACAGTAACCAGTGCAGACAAGATAGTTTCTCATCAAGTTTAGGGTTTGCGAATAATTGCTTTTCAGAAATAACCGACATTTCATGAACAATTAATGCAATTTTAAATTTTGTAGTTAAGATGAATAGGTTTAGTTTATTCTTTCTTTGCTTATTTCCGGAGTCATTTCCAAAACTTCGGATGGATTTGGGGAAATAGCAGGCGTTGTACGTCCTACATGTACCAATTTTTGTCTACTCGTAATTGGGGTTCCAACTTGATTAAAGGAATAATTTGCTATATCCGCTATAGCATTTTCACGAGTATTCTGTTCTGGATGGAGTAAAATTATATACAACTTTGGACTAAACATACAAAGCAAAATAGCTAAGGCTAACGTGATTATACCAAATGATGATATTGCTGCCTGAATAGGCCCCGCTGTTCCGAAATAAGACGGAACCATAGTTAGCAAAGACATAAGTATGATTAAAGAAGTAAAATTAATATATTTTGCTTCACAAAAATTTTCTGGTAATTTACGTGTTTTAAATGCCCAATAAACACAGCAAATACAAAGAACAGAAAAATAGCCAACCGCGATTGCATATCCAATGCGAGTATTAGATCGACATTGCAAATAAACTATATCTTCAGATATTACAAGTCGATTAACTTGAATAGGATCGAAATAATTGGCGATAAAACAGATTGCTATTTGTATTACGGTCAGAAAGACGACTAATATAGCGGGTCCTTGATAGCTAAGATATACTCTTGTCTTAAAGGACTTCACAAAACCTGACTCGAATACTCTAGAAACTCGATTAGTTTTAACAAAAATGATGGACACAATAAATACGACGGATGTACAAAACCAGATAAAACCGACGGAGCAATTAAGCATTGAAACTGGAGCAGCAAAAGAAACTGCAGTAGACATACACATCAGAATACCAAGCAGAAACATTTGTGACAACATAAAATCAGAAGCTTTAACTACTGCTGTATGACGATATAGAATAATTACAATCCAAGTAAATACTGTACAAACAGCGCCTAGACTAAGATAAATTAACATGATTACATTCTGTATACTGTGATGTTTCGGATTTTTCTCGAAGATTACATTAGCTTGGGTCTTCTTCCTCTTTTGATTATTGTGACTTCGTTTGCGTTTCTTTGACTGACCACTGTGTTTTTGTTTACAAACTTTAGCTATGTGGCCTGTTTTCTGGCAATGGTTGCAGACCGCCTGTCGATGAGGACAGTCTATACGCCAATGAGTAGCGCCACACGAGGGGCAAGGCGTGTGTGGAACATCTGAAGCTATACGCGATTCCCCTGTGTGTACAACCCTTGCTGGTGGAGCTCCGGACAATCGCTGTTTGAAATTGATCGGTGTGAGAAATTCTGTCCTAGCTGAGGTGATTGTTTGAGCTTCTGCGGAGGCCATATCGGTTTCCCGTGCAATTTTAACGGCTCGATCCAAAGTTAAATTTTCTTCCAATAAAAATTTTCGGACTGTTCCTGTGTCACGAAGGCCCAAAATAAAAGCATCCAATAAATTTGCTTCGAGTGAGTCGCCTGCAAATTCACATGTTGTAGCTAACTTCCGGATTCTTGAGACGTAAGCAGTGATAGACTCTCCTTCGAGTTGCATGTTCTTCCAAACTCTGTGACGTTCGGCATGCTTCAGTCGGCTCGGCACAAAGTGATTGGCAAGCATTTCCAAAAGTTCTTTCAAGGTATGATCCTCGGGTGCTTTCGGATATGCACAACTTGTAAGAATGTTGTATGCATCAGGTCCAACCAACGCCAAAAATAAATGTAAGGAATGTTCCATTCCCATATTGTTGGCCTTGAGGAAATTGCGAAAGTGGTTTTCGTAGGTAGGCCACTGATTTGAATGGATATCGTATTGACCAGGCGTAGCGACCAACGAGTATCCCATCCTCGTCGCCAATTGTGATGTTTCGGAAGATTGTGGATTCGTCATGATCACAGTAAATTACCAGAGTTAATTTAGTAGAGGAATAGAGTTTATTGGAATTAGTGCAAAGGAAAAACCGTATGAGATTACAACGTGTATAACGACGTGACTAGTCGAATAGCTATAGTAATGTAGCATAGGTAAAGCGTGCAAGCTTACCGTGTAACTAGCAGAACTAACTAACGAGATAGGTGAAAGAAGATAGCTTTTATAATGTATGAAGCACAGCAGGAGGAAATCATAAATGACTAATAAGAATATGTTACTTCTATGTTAAGACAGGGCTACGATATAATTCAGCTAGATTCAAAGCGATTTCCACAGAGTATTTTGTTAAATATAAATTATACATATTTAGAGTTATGCTACAATCTAGTGGAAATTGACTTTTACTAAAAATAGACTATACCGTATTTAGAAGTAAACACTACATATACTATAAAATGTCAATTCGTAGGGCTCGATCAGATGACATTGCGTTCGTTGTCGATTCGCTAAGCTTCCTAAAGGACAAGAAAAACAACTTGACGACTGTGATTGATTATTGACTGTTCCGAGCGGACAAGAAATGCACTTCCAACAGCATGTAAGATTCGTTAGGTATTGATAATAGCTACCAGGTTGACAAGTAGATGAGCATGGATTAGAAATCTGACTTAAGTTAGAATACGGCCCGAAACTAACTAGCGTATCGTTAATGTGCAAAGGAGGAAAATGATTATTTCTCCAGGTACCGACCAAGACGACGTCATATGTATTCTGTAGTGTAGATTTTATGTTATGGATATAATAGATGATATGGGAAGGATTTCCATTTGCATCAAACTTAAATATCGGAGCTGATGCGCCTTCAAAAGATATTTCATATAAGTTTTTTTTAACTTGATTTTTAAAGGATGGATGATTGACTATTTCATATTGACAAGAACTGTTACTACAATTTAAGGTTTTATGGATTGAATGAGCTAAAGCATTGACAGCGTCTACGACATAAGATATACTGAAAGAATTTCGATAGATATCTTTCTTTGTTTCACCAATTTTATTGAGTAACTGGCCACAAGATTCTTCAAGATCTTGTTCTGTAAAATTAGTGAATCCGCGATTTTCGAGTTCCTGGCTTAAAAATGGTCGCAAACTGAGACAAAGCGTAAACTTTCGAAGATATTCTACAAATTTTGAACTCGGGCGATGCTTAAGGGATATACTAATCATTCCTCCAATTATATCTCGACTAGTCTTAAAAAACTGGCTTTCCAAAGTACCAGTCGTAATAATTATCTTACCGGTCACATTTTGTTTTTCAAATTCTTGAATAATACTCGTTAGATACTGATTCGTAACCATAACAATAACAACTTTAGCAGGACTTGTTTTAATTTTCGATACTGCTGCAGCGATACTATTCTGCAGTCTTGAAACTTTTTCTGCTAAAAGGACGCATATTTTCTTCCTTTGAAAATATTTTCGGGCTTGTTCATAGGCACGACTACCTAGATCACCAACGTATGACAACATGGCGATAAATTTCCAATTAAAGTAGGATAGAATAGATTCTAAAATTGCCGGATAATGATCTTCCGGAGGAATAGTTCGTAAAATGGTTGGAAATCTTGTTTTATCACCTAATAGACCTTCTTTGGCACCATATGTAATTTGGACTAAGTTGAAAACTTTGCAAATTCCTTGCATATCGATACTTCCACGTGCAGTCTGAGTTCCTATAATACCTGCCAATTTATTACTTACGGCTTGTATTATAGCAGAAGTAGTAGTAGAGAACTCATTAGGGGCTGAGCAAGATGAGAAAGAACATTGACGATGACCATTCTTTTCACAGATTTACGTTTTGTGAATTGGAACAGTATGTCTAACGTTTCTCTGACGCTGACTTGTTCGTCACCGCATCCATCATGTATATCATAGCCCAATGTGATATTAGGTAGCAAATAAGGATCTTCATTAATTGTTTCAATAGCAAATATCATCGCATAAGCGTTAATAATTTGTTGCCAGTCTATATTGCTACATAGCTGCTTTTTGGCATCGTACTGTTTGTGAATTGGAAACACTCCGCCAAGCACTATTTGGCCATCTGCTGAAACGCCGATTTCTGTAGCATCGTTTGAGAGAATTAAAGAGAGCACTAACATGGAAATTAGAGCAGTAGTTATCTTATTATTGATTACTACTGCTAAACGAAAACAGGATTTGTTCTGGGCTGTCATAACTAAAAATGAATCGAAAACAAAATTAGATTCTACCCTTCGATTTTATTGACGTAACTTTGGTAGAACAGTGATGAAATATAAGCAATTTATTACAATCTTAAAAGAATAAAAATTGATACTGTAATCGATAAGAAATGTATATATACAATAATTACAAATAGTTTAATCTTCTAGAAGACGATACAGCTAATTCATAAAAGTTTATTATTTTAGTAATTATTTATTCTTAGTTATTTAAGGTTAATTCTACGCATACATCTACTAATGCTAAGATATTGCAGTGTTAGTAATGTGAATGAATTTACCAAAAGTAAGTATACTTAATGGAAAAGCCGCTCACTTAATTCATTAAGTAAGCTAGATTAAAATCATTATCATTACAATATTGATTACGTAAATTCCTACCAGTAAAGTCAAAATTTGTTGGATGTCGATGTTTATTAATCTGCCAACTTCTAATTTGAAAGTTTTAATCTTTTAATGCCTTTGCGCTAGCTCATTACGTTTATAAAGCAATGAACGTACGCTACTTTCTAATACAATATTTAAATACAATTTCAAGACTATTTTTCGGTCATTATGGTAAGTTTATAGGTGATCGCTGATGGAATTATGGATAATTTTATCAAGTTTAAGTATTCTAACACAAAATAATGCTTGTTTAGACAACAAAAGATGATGACGTATAGCAATTCTCCCTAGAAGTAAAATATTGATTAAATTAACTCAAGACGTAAATGGAATCAATTTTGAAGGCATTATTAAACGAATCAATAAAATTTAATTGGTCTAGCGTTAAATCGAAGCAAGTATTATTTTTTTTCATCTATCTTGCTGGATCCGCTGAACATACGTTCGTATGATCTCTTCTTCCTACTGAATTAACTTTATAAATATAGTATAGGAGCATAAAAAGCAAAATAATCTAATTATCTTTTTCTAATACGAGACAAATTATCTCTTTTATCAACAGCAACAATTGATAAGTGAGATGTGAAAGGCTGAAAACTCAAATCAATTATTATTAATTTATATGAGCTACTGTTGTTAAAAGAAAAAATGTGCTAAGAAAATTGATTAGATGTAATCGCCGGCAATATGTTATAAGCAACAAAGGTAATGTAGATTTCTAATGTAATCCAAGTTCAATAAGAAGCAACTTTAGCTCAGTTTCTAGTCTCTTCTATATCAATCCGCTAAGATCGATGATGAGCAAACGATAATCTATTCTAAATTTTATTCCAATCCTCAAATTTCTTTTCGCATTAAACTTAAAGAATGAAAAATTCAGATACAATTCCAATAACTACCATATTTTTAACATACTTTTTCCTAACTATAGAGGATATATTATTTAGGATAAATATCAACTATTATTGTTGGTAAATCTAAATAAGCATTCATCGTGACATATGAAGCTAATAATATGCTGAAAGTGCTTGTAACTAAGCTGATGGCAAAGAAGATTCGTACAACATCCTGCAACCAATACTGTTGTCTATTACATTGGTATAGCAAATTCGTAAATCAATAACAACATGATAGCGAGTGAGTTTTATCTCTTAGGTTTGCAATCTGCTCATTCGTAATTTTAGCGATTAGAAAAGAAAAATCCTCTAATTTACAACTCCAAGGCACTTAATCCAAATTGCTGTAAGTACAACGTTTTAGCATATCGGCCGCAATCCTTAATTATTATATTAGAAAAATGATCATTTCTAATTCATTCGAAGCATTACAAGATACTACTACCCCTTTTCAAAGCATATGACTACTATAATTAGCATAGCTCAATACAAGCTATTAATAGCGACCTGAGAAGCAATTAACAAGTTTTTGCGTCATATAACAGATCAAAAATGGTGTCTTATCCTATCTCGTCACAGTAAAGACATAATTGTATAAAGTATCGATACCAAAAAAAGAAATAAATTTATTCCATCAACTGCTATGTCTTGGCCTAAAGTCTAAATCAAGTATAATTTCTGATATGATAAAGCTGCCAAAAATAACTATTCAATTTCAGAACTTTTATTGATTGCTATTAAGAACCCATATAAATGTGCAAATCATCAAAAATCGTGACGTGGGATGATAGTAAATTTAGATCAGTTTTAGTTTAGCAAAAAAATAGGTGTTAAGACTGGATATTACCCCAGCAGTTATAAGAAACTTGCGCATTTTAGTATCACCTTTTTCGATTTAGAGCCAAAATATGTTACAAAATGGATTATGATTTCCTTTACTTATTTAACACCCTTAATATTTCTACTTAAAGATGCTAGTCAATGATTACGTTAAGTTGATGGCGTACAATTAGGAAGATGTAAATGAACGAACTCTAAATTTGGACTAAAATGTTACTATTTTCGCGATTTCGACTACTCTGGCATTAACTGTAATTTCATGAGCGCTTTTTGATTTAATGGGCTAGTAAGTAGCTTTAATTGATTTTGTTATTACGTAAAATCATATTTATGACTATGTTTTTCGCACATACTTCAAGGATTATGTTTATTGTACTCAAGGTAATGGTTCCAGTAAGTACCATGAAGCATGAAAGTTAAACTTTGCAGTACCGTAAAATAGTATTTATAATCGTATATTAAGGTAACTGTTAACATTAATTTATTGACAATAGCTATTTACTATGTCATTCTGGAAGGAATTCGTCATACGCTATATGGCAATAAAAAATACTAAGCACTAGTAATTAATTCAATTTCATGCTATTTACATGCCGATCCAGACATATGGTTAGCATCTGATGATTTGACGATAGGAAGAGTTGATATTCTGCACTTTGAACTATTCGATTAGCTAGAAGCCCCGTATCATCTGATAAGTCTAATATTCATCTAAGGTTTTTCCATTGATTATATGTGATTTCACGTTAAGATAAATACGTCTATACAGGCTAATTTTAATTTTAAATCGTTGTTTTTAATAATATTAATATAATTTAAAAATTTCAATCAGTCATCTTACCGTTAACGACACTAAGCATAAAGTCCTATTAAAACTTATTTCGGTAACCTTACAAGATGTCTCATAGAAATCAAATTACAATCTTAAAATCTCAATTTTTGTATAGTTCAATATTTTTTTTATTGACTAGCGCTATTACGCCTGTCTGCAATGCCTATCAATACAGAAAAAATCCACAATTTGCTAGAAAAGCTGGTATAATGCAAATCCAAGGAGTTTTCCCCAATACCTTGCAATACGATCTAAACACTAACCTTTGTTCTGCCTTTAGTCTGGAAAACTTGCAGTTAACACAAGCTATGATTTACACTATGAATCAACTTATTAATGGTAATCCAAATTTATTGCCTGGAATTGAACTTGGTTATACGATAATGGATTCGTGCTCATCAAGATTTGCAGCCTCAGTTTCCCTTACATCAAGTCTCGTTACTTCTGACAAAGAAATTTTTTCTTATGCAACATGTCAAATCCCGAATTCAAATCATATTCTTACAAATTTTGTAACATCATTAGAGAATAATACGAATATTCGCAATCCAACCATCGGAATAGTAGCTGAGAAATCGGAATCTCTTACTCTAGCACTAGCATCGTATACAAGCAGTTTAAATTTACCACAAATAAGTTATAACTCTTTCACCAATTCGCTGCAAAATCGTAACTTATATCCGTACTTTTTTAGAACAACGTCAACTGTACAACTACAAACAAAAGCTATTTTTGATCTTATATCTTATTTCCATTGGAACTGGATTACAGTCATAATCGCTGGTAATGAAGCAGTCACTAATATCAAGCAAATATTAACAACGAATGCTCGGAATCGAGACATCTGCATATCCACAATCATAACATTAAATGAAAACTATACTCAATCAGCTTTATATAGAGCAGTTAGGAATTTAAAGCAACGGCATCAATCTAATGTCATTATTCTTATTGGAGATGAAAATATAGTTTTTGACTTCTTAAAAGTAGCGGAAGCTCAAAAGCTATCCGGTAAAACATTCATTGGAAGTTATACTTGGTTGAAATCGTTGCGTTTAAGCAATATAAGTGGAGATATACTAGGGGGTGCATTAGGTCTAGACATTCCTGGAGAAACATACAAAAAGTTTCTTAACTATTTACAAAATCTTGATTTATGTAATAACGTTGATAATCCTTGGTTTATACAAGCATGGTTTGAAAAATTAACATTAGCGGGTTATAATGCTGAACAAGTTATAAAAAATTGTAAGATCAATCGTAGATTACAATTATCCTTATTTGATAAATTTTACGACGCTAATTATATCTCTGAATTTACTATGGATGCAGTACTAGCACTAGCTTATGCTTTGCATGATAGACTAGGCTGTAATTCTCATTCTTGCCCGCCATTTGATCCAGATATGATAGCAAAGGATCATGGGCAATTTAAAAATTATTTACATAAAGTTTCCTTTCCTGGTATAACCAGCCGACGATTTGTTTTTCGACCAGATGGAAGCAGTCAATTACCTTATGATATTGTAACTCTTCATCCATTTAAAAATGCTACTACAAATACAGTCCGTAAGATTAAAATTGGTTCTTGGAGTCTGAAAAATGATCTTATTATTGATTCGAAAAAAATTAGATGGAATGGAGGAAATAATTGGTCTGAAATACCTTCAGCACGTTGTTCAGAAGACTGCCAGCCGGGTCATTACCTTGAGTTGCCGAGAGATATGGCATCATCAAGGTATCCTTGCTGTTGGAAATGCAGAAAATGTAAACCTCAGGCAATCTCAGATGCGATCAATCAAATACGATGTATAAAATGCGTTAATTACACTCAACCGAACGATAATCACACTGAATGCGTAGATATGCAAATAGCGAGAATTAAATGGGATGGAGCATTTGCAATAGCAATGTATATCCTGACATCATTTTACCTCGTAGCTCTAATCTTCATATGGGTCACAATTATTTTATATCGCAAAACTCCAGTCGTGAAAGGTTCTAATTATTTACTATTAAATATCTATCTCTGTTTCAATTTATTAATCCTAGTATCAGCTTTTCTTTACTTAATCCCAGTGACGAAAATGGCGTGCACTGTTCAAATGGTTATGATTAGTGCAAGCGAGATTGGCATTTTAGTTACCATTATTAGCAAAACGAATCAAATTGACATGATTTTTAAAAATACATCACGCGGAGGTGGAATCCGATCGAAATTAATTCGCAATAGTAGTCAGATATTATTTATACTTGTAACTGAAGTTATTAGTCAGGCTATTGTCCTCGGACTACTTGCTTATAGTCCTGCTAGTATTGTAAGAACGATCAACGATGATAATCATATTGAATTAATGTGTGGATTTTCCAATAGTCCGAGCATAATCGCTTTTGCAGTTATAATCTTATTATTGAGTTTCACTGCGTTAACTTTGGCATTTCGAACCCGATCGCTACCTGATAACTTTAGTGAAGCTCGGTACATCTTTTTAGCTTCCTTAATGGTAACTACTGTTGCTGTCTCGAGTGTACCAACACTTCTTCTTACAACAGGTTTGTCTCATCAATATGTAGCAACTATAATCAATTTTACATTTGCGGCTATTTCTCTCTTCTGTTTGCTATTACCCAAAATTATGTCATCTATTATCAAGCTGAAAACAATACTCGTCAACAAGCTGTTGCAAGTGTCGCTAATTTTACCTTTAATAATAATCGGCCATCTCCAAAACCAATATCACTTAATTCTAACAACAGCTATTTAACTGATTCACCAATAGCAGTTGGACGAAAAGTACTAACAGCTCGAATTCAGCCTAAGAATTATTCAGAAGAGACAGACCAAGAAGATTTATAAAGAAAATTATATTTACGTTCATAAAATTAACTGTTAAACTGCTAGAGTCACCAACTAATGGTATTTTTAATATTAACAAGGTCGAATAAAATTAATTCAACATTATTGAAAGGTATAAGCTACTAGCTATTAAGATCGCAAATAGCGGACTTGATTTATTTATAATTAATTATGTACTATAAAGGATTCAATGCCGTAGCCTTGGGGCAGGTAATTACTTAAATGTTTGAAATTTCACTATTATAATAATATCCATATATTAAGTCATTTACATTTTATATTGTCAGACATATCGACATTGTTCAGTTTTAAAATATGACATACTGGATTAAACCATTTTATTATGTCCTAAGAAATTGTAGTCCTGAATAAAAATCAAGTAGATTTACCTTATCTTTGAAATTATCAGAGTAATAATTGTGTGTGTATTGTCATTATAACTCAAATTTTAAATTTTGATTTTGACTCTAAATTGCATGGCATGATTGCTATATATTAAACAATTTTAGTTATTCTGGTTATCAAAAGGTATTACTTGAAAAATTACGGATTTATAATTTTAAGATCGGAAATTTTCCGTAGGTCATGTTGATAGATACTACTTGTTATGTTCTTCAATAATAAGTTCACTCCGTGAGTAAGATTGGTAACCGCATTTTATTATTAGTTGATCGGTATTTATAGCTACACGAGGTTACACCTCGATACGATTATAGTTTATACTTCGCACTACAATTAGCAACTTATCAGTCTACCTTTTACAATATTATCACCTACTGTATTACAAGTACTATCATACAATTATCATATACGTACATATATAGTGTTTCCTTTATTTATGCCTTTATGATTAAGATATCGTATTTAATCTATTACTAACTATATATACAACACTACTGTTTTAAGATAATTTGCATGTTGACAGCGAGGTAGATTTCTAAAATAAAAAGATGTTTTATCTGTTTCATTTTCAGCAACAAGTATAAAATCTATTATTTAGTAATATTTGATTAGGTTAACTATTGGAAATAGGTGAGCTGAACTTAGCTAACTTATTCTAACGTTGAATATATAACATATGGTGTGAAGAAAGCCTTTCAATTATTGAACTATACTGATAAATCGGCGGTGCTAGATCATTTATGTATTATTGTAATAGAGTAATACTTAATGTTTACTTCGTGTAGTTAGTATCTAACATAGTGATATTTTCCTTAATTATCTACTAGAATGGTGACTAGTAAGAATTAAAAATATCTGTTCGATTTTTATCTTAAACAAAGTCCTATTCCCTATTCCTGATGGTAGAATGCAACATCACAGACTTGTGATATATGAATACAAAGACTAAATACAGTAATGGATCGGTATATTTTATTTTATCTTGCTTCTGCGCACATTCGACCATTTCAACTAGTACCATCTAAAACTTAATTCTTTCAGCCTAAGTAAAATTTATTGAAGTCAAAAAATAGTATAGGTACGCCTCATGACTGTTTATATCGCTTTGAAAGTTTACTGATTACATGTTTAGAGCTGATAATTATAAAAAAAGTAATAAATGTTGTGGTGATCACTATTTCTTGATAAGCCTGCTTACGTTCGCCATTTTTTTTAATATTTTTTCTGCACTAAATCAATACCATTTGTTGCTAACTCGACTTGAAGAGAAATAAATTTTTTAAAAGACAATCTATAAAGCTTAAAGGAGAAAAAAATAAATGATCACTGAAAATTGCATGAATGAGTCAGTCAGTACGTTTCTTTACCTGATTCAGATAGATATTCTCCATCTCACATTTATGGAGAGTTATGATGATGCTAACAATGATATTGTTGTTTAAAGTCTTTATTATTATTGCTATAAGCCGAATTTTAGATATGCTCGACGAATTTAATCAAACAACGCAATATTACAACATTCATCTAGGGTTGTTGTTGATCGATTTAATACGTAAATCTATAAAGGAAGGATAAACCTATCGAATAACTACAAGCTCTGTGAATATTTTGCAGAAAATGCATTCTGAAATTTACATATCGAGTAATGCAATAATAATATTTTAAAGTCATTGTAAGACAGATCTAGGCTAGAATAATTACATCAATCGCTGCTATTAATAGTTGTTACTAGGAAATATAAACTGAAGAACAATAATTGAGGAGATTTAAAATACCGATCCATATGAATAAAGAATTTATACATGACAAAAATAAATATCGTAAAATTTAGGCTATTAAAACGCATACGTATATATCTACAAGTCAACGTAAAAATTACTCAATTACATTTATTAATAATTCTGAGAAATGTTGGTTTCGAAAAATATTTAAGATAAGATAAAACTTTCGCTGCTGATTTGGTCTAGCCTTTAGCATAATATTTCTACGATATAAAGACTCCTGACATCGATTACTGTGTCTTAGATAGATTAATAATAATTATTACAATCTAGGGGAAAACTAAGCATAAAAGCAGGAAAATGCGATTTATATTTCTTTCTATTTTAATCTCAAATTTTATTAGGCCCAACATTGTCTTTATTTTATTCATTTACAGCACCACACCATCTTATACATCTTCTGCCAACTCTGGTGTACAGTTTTATTCTAAAAGACATGGTTCTGTCCAAATACAAGGTATATTTCCCAATAGTCTACATTACAATCCTAAAACTTCTAGATGCTCCAGGTTTAGCCCAGAAAATATACAGTTAACCCAAGCTATGATCTATACTATTGATTATCTCATTAATAATAATCCAACATTACTACCTGGAATCGAAATTGGTTATAAAATACTTGATTCCTGTTCATCAAGACACTTAGCTGTGTCATCTCTTACTTCAAGTCTCGTCGAATCTGAAACTGTAAATTTTCTGCAATTTGGTGATAATGGTACACTAATTTCTGATCATACATCGGTATCTGGCCATGTTCCTACTATCGGAATAGTAGCTGAAAAAATAGAAAGTATTACGATCGCACTTGCATCGTATACAAGTAGTTTGTACTTCCCACAGATAAGTTATAACTCATTTAGCACATTACTCAACGATCGTAATATATTTCCATACTTTTTTAGAACTACGTCACCATTAGCAGTTCAGGCACAGGCAATTTCTGATATCGTGTCTTATTTCAATTGGAATTGGATTTCAATAGTAATAGGAGGCTTGGATACTTTCATCAACGTAGAAAAAATTCTAACTTCAGCGATAAAAAGTCGAAATATCTGTATATCTTTGACTATAACTTTGTATGCCAATCATACTCAATTCGACTTACATAAGGCAGTTTCAAGATTGAAAAGGCAACACCGATCTAACGTTATTATTCTCATTGGTGATGAAGCAGTAGTTCATAGTTTCTTGGAAGTAGCACAAACTCGGAATTTAACCGGTAGAACCTTTATAGGCACTTACTCTTGGCTTAAATCATCGCGTTTAAGTAATATTAGCGGAGACATACTTGGGGGTGCTTTAGGTATTGACATTAGTGGCCGATCATTGAAAGCCTATATAAAATATTTGCATGACCTAGATTTATGTAATAATGCTAACAACCCTTGGTTTAAAGCTGCTTGGTATGAAAAATTAACTTTGGCAGGATACAAACAAAACGGAAAATTATCTGCAACTTCTTGCAGTCTCAATCATCGATTAAAAGTAACATTATTTAGTAAATTCTACGAGACGAATCACATTGCTGAATTTGTTATGGACGCGGTATTGGCGCTAGCTTACACTCTTCACGCTAGTTTAGGCTGTAATTCCAGCTATTGCCCATCCTTTCATCCAAATTTTATTACTAATAATCACGCTGAGTTTGTAAGAGCTCTTCGCAATGTTTCATTTCAAGGTGTAACCACGAATAAATTCCGTTTTCGACGTGACGGAAGCAGTCAATTAACATATCAAGTAATAAATCTTCAACCATTTAAAAATGCTACTGTCAATACTGTAATAAAAACTAAAATTGGAAGCTGGAACGAGAAGATGGGTCTTTCCATAAACTATAACGAAATCATTTGGAATGGAGGTAAAAAATGGGATAATATACCGATATCTCGCTGTTCAGATGACTGCCGACCTGGTTATGCTGTCGCATCCGGTCAATATTCTAATTTTCAATTGTTGCAATGTTGTTGGAGATGTAAAAAATGTAAAGATCAAACAATATCGGATACTATAAATCAAGGTAGTTGTGAAAAATGCGTTAATTTTACTGAAGCAAATCAAAATCATACCCTGTGCATCGATATGCCGATAGCTGAAATCAATTCCAGAGGGTCAGTTGCAGTAATACTTTATTTATTTACTGCATTCTATTTAATATGCTGGATATTTATTTATTCGACAATCGTAATATACCGAAAAACACCTATTATTAAAGCATCTAATTTTGCCCTATTAAATATATTTCAGTTCTTTAATTTACTTAGCCTTCCTGCTTCTTTGCTTTCTGTCCTTCCAATTACGAGTATTATTTGTGCAGCACAGACAATACTTATTGCATTAAGTGAAATAGGCCAGCTACTGACTATTATATGTAGGGCTAATCAAATAGCTATAGTATTTAAAAAATCATTACGTCGAAGTAGATGGCGATCAACATTCGTAAGAAATAGAAGTCAAGTTCTATTCATTATTCTTGTCTCAGCTTTAAGTCAGTTGACTATTGCCGCCTTATTAATCTACCGTCCTGTATTAGTGACTAAGGTTATCAACGCTAATAACAAGATAGAAATGATGTGCAGTTATATCAATAATCCAGCATTACTAGTATATGGTATCTTGTTTGGATTACTTAATATTATTGCATTAGTTCTTGCCATTCAAACACGTTCTTTACCGGACAACTATAATGAAGCGCGTTATATCCTTCTTTCAGCTATGATGTTTACTTGCGTGTTTTCGACTAGTCTTCCCTCTATTTTGGCAACAACTGGTTTGACAAATCGCAAAATAACCAGTTTTTCTCTTTTTTCAACTGGAGTAATATCAATGCTATGCTTCCTTCTACCTAAAATGTATATCATCTACATTCATCCTGAAATGAATACACCCTCACAGGCAGCTGCAAGTGTGGCAAACTACAACTTTAATCACCGTGGACTTGTAACTCCAACTTCTTATCAAGAAAATTCTACGGCTAGTCTTTTGTCCAGTTCAGTAGAGCCCTATCGAATGAAAGCATCTCCAACTCAAATTCAATCAAATAATGACAGAAAATCCACAAACAACAAAGACACGTAGGAAAAATACGACGAGAGTATTCATGCCTTATAAAATAAGACAATACGCCATAGATATTGCAATTTACAGTCGAAATATAAATGCATTGGTAATTTAAAGATAGAATTAAGTAAATTTTGAGGATAGTTGACTCTGATAGATAGCCTCGTTATCAGTAAAATATACCTTTAGTCAAATTGACTGATTCACAGTGTGAAAGTTTGCTATTCAGCATCATTTATTCAGGCAATGGATTTAATTGACTTAATCTTGTGCTGTTCTTAAAACTGAATTTGTCCTGAATTAACGTTGATTTATTTAACTATTTGTTTATTATAATATCCTTAAAGCAATAGGTTGTCCATTGCTTCAAATTCTAAACTGGATATAGGATCGCATGCCACAAATTGAGCTTTATAACACTTGATGGATAATTGATAATAAAATTACAGCAAAAATCTCTAGGCGTTATTTTACAAATCCTTTTCATTATCTCTAGTATATTACGGTAGCAAGTCCTTCAAACAACTAACGACGAGAACTTACAATAAGAAATCTCCATTCTGAACTATTTGATAAGAGTTTCTTTAACGTATATACGAGTATATGAAAATATGTGATACACCCCCAAATATAGCTTATAGTAGCATCGTACGCGAATAGTTCATTTACTTGTTAGATTACAGCATAAGAATGTGTAAGTATCTATATGTAGAACATCATTAATTAGATTATCGTTAACCTCAGTTGTAAAATGTACTAAGAAAAATGTAAGAATATTCTATCA